ATGGAGAGAATGTGTGGTAGATACACAAGCGTGTTCATTTAACAGTAACACACGGAGATGTATGTTTCTAGTTTTGTATGCTTTTCTGTACATGTGTCATGCTTTAATAAAAATGTCTGTTGGGGCGCCTAGGTGGCTCAGTGGGTGAAGTGTCCAACTCTTGATTTTGGCTCAGGTCATGATCTCTGGGGGGTAAGATCGAGCCCTACATCAGGCTATGTGCTGAGTGTGCAGCCTGCTTAAGATTCTCTCCTTCTCCCTCTGCCCCTCCCTGCTCATGCTCTCTCTCTCTCTAAAAATAACAAAAATTAAATTAAATTTTTAAATATCTGTTTATGAAGACAATGGTCCAGCAAACCCTGGAGTGATTTCTATGGAACCAATTCCCTCTAGGATGGTGCTGCAGCCCTGAGTTCTCTGAGTCCCCATCTGTCCCCCGTGCCCAACAACTTCACCACTCACTTTGTTTCAGGGGAGGTGCAGTGAGGAAGAGATAAACAGAAACAAATACAGTCTTCTTAGAACTTGCCTGGGTCCCAGACAGAGTAGTCAATCAGAGACTCCTTCCTGAGAAGTGAAAATTTCAACACAGTCTATAAGAAGAGCCAGTAAGCATGCCTTAGAGCTAATCCATGAGATGCTGCCCTGCCCTTTTGTTTTGTCTGCAGCCCCTGCGTGTTCACAGTCTCCAGTGTGTCCTTTGGGGTTCCCTCAGAATGCACAGAGCAAACCTGAATTTAGGGCCTGGACCCACTTCTGTGGGCAGCTACTTGAAGGTCCCTGCTCCCCAACACACCTGACCCCAAAATCATCCCAATCTGCTTCTAAGATGCCTAAAAAGAATTCATTTATTCACTCAGTTAACATTTTGAGTACCTATTGTGTGGGCACTTTGCAGGGCACTAATCACAGCTGTAATTATATATTGAGTCCTGTGATAGATGTTAGCTCTGTGAAGGAGGGGCCCATGTACTGATTCACCATCAAATTCTCAATACTTAGCACAGGGCCTGGCCCAAAGGTGTTCAAGCACATCAGGGAAGGAGTGAGAATTGAGAGGGAGATGTCCCTGTGAAAACAATTAGCATATGTCACATTGTACAATGTCATAATAGGATTAAGTGTCTTGAATATGTGTTCTTTTAAGTTAAGAATGTTGCATTCTCCCAAAGATCCCAGTTATGACAATGAGAAAACCTTCAGAAAAGAGTTACCCATTAAAACTTATCATCTTGGGCCCCTGGGTGGCTCAGTTGGTTAAGCGTCTGCTTTTGGCTCGAGTCATGATCCCAGGGTCCTGGCTCCCTGCTAGGCAGGGAGACTACTTCTCTTTCTCCCTGCCCCCTGCTCGTGCTCTCTCTCACTATCTCTCTCATAAAAAAATAAAATCTTTAAAAATAAATAAAACATCATCTCATCCAGGATTTCCTTTAAGATTTTTATTTATTTATTTGAGAGAGCATGAGCAACAGAAAGAGCACAAGCTGGGTGCAGGGGGAGAGGCAGACTCCCCAATGAGCAAGGAGCCTGATGCAATCCCAGGACCCAGGGATCGTGACCTGAGCCAAAGGCAGACACTTAACCAACTGAGCCACCCAGGCACCCCTCATCCAGGATTTTCTCTCTCTTTTTTTTAAGATTCTATTCATTCATGAGAGAGAGAAAGCATGGGGTGGGGGGAGAGGAAGAAGTAGGCTCCCCACCAAGCAGGGAGCCCGAGTCGGGGCTCGATCCCAGGACCCTGGGATCATGACCTGAGCTGAAGGCAGACGCTTAACGACTGAGTCACGCGGCTGCCCCTCATCCAGGATTTTCTAACTCGCTTTTGTCTTAAATAATTAACCAACAAATTAGTCTCTCTTCTTGACTCTGATCACAAAACTAAGTGAAACATAGACCCTGTCTCCAATTAACTGAGTAACATGAGTGATCATCTGGGGGGACCCGATATAAGAACTTTCTAAGCATGTTATAATACCATACCTCACCTAACGCTCACACATCCCTATAGAGCAGGCTCCCCTGTTGACTTCACCTTATGAATGGAAAACTGAGAAACAAGAGGTTAGTTAGCTTCTTCAGTGCCACCGAGGGAGTACGTGGTTTAAAATCTAGAACAGCTTCTCCCAATGAAACTTGCCAATAGACAGATAAACTCTCACTTTATTCTAGAGATTATTTAAAGTATTCATCCATCCATTCACTCAATAAAGGGACAAGATTTATTGAGACTCTGTGCCAGATACTGTTCTAGAGGCTGAAGAAACAGCAGTGAACAAAACAGACAAAAACCCTGGCCTCAAGGAGCTTACCTTCTAGTGAGGTAAAGAGGAGCCCGGGAGACAGAAAAGAAAACAAAGGAGTAAACAGGAGAGCATGTCCAATGGAGATGGGGACCACAGAGAAAATAAGCAGAGAGGGAGATAAGGCGTTACAGGATGGCGGGCTTGACAATTTTAGTGGAAGCCATCACTGGGAAGGTGGTATGAGCAGAATCCTGTGGGGCTGAGGGAGCAGGCCAGGTGGTCAGTGGGGAAGTGGTGTTCCAAGTGGAGAAAACTGAGTGCAAAGCCATGGAGTGCAGTGTGCTCCAGGAGCAGCAGGTCAGGGATGCTGAACACAGGGCGTGCAAGAAAGGAGGGAGGAAGGGGAGGGGTGTCAGGAAGGCCAGATCACGTAGGCCACTATGAAATGTGTGGCTTTTACTCTGCATTCAGAAGCTTCTGAAAACGCTCGGCAAACCTCGAGAGTGATAGGAGGTTCTTACATATATATTATGCATATTAAATTCTTCAGTAAGCCAAAATTTAAAAAAAGAAAAGGTTTCACTGCCCTCATGTGTCCTGATGGGATGCTCTGAAATACACACAGCCTCACTTGTATAGTAACCCCGCCCAGAAAGCATAGCCCGGCTCACATGAGGAAACCTCACACAAACCCGGATTCAGGAGCCTTCCACAAAACGACTGGCTTGTACTCCAAAAATGTCAAAGTCATGAAAGACAAAGAAAGGCTGGGGAGGGTTATATATCAAAAGACATAACAAAACAAAACAAAACAGGGCTCCTGGCTGGTTCAGTCAGTAGAGCATGCAACTCTTGATCTCGGGGTTGTGAGTTCAAGCCCCACACTGGGTGTGGAAGCCTACTTTAAAAAAAACTTTTTTTAATAAAAAAATAAGAGACATAACAAAAAAAGGACCTAACAACTGAATCTAATACATGATCCTGATTGGATTCTGCACTGGGGAGGGGAGAATGCCATAAAGCCCATTATTGGAACAACTGGTAATATTTAGATATGGACTGTGTATTTGATTGTATCGATGTTAAATTTACTAAACTTTGATAATCGTGCTGACATGATATAATATGATATGGGAATGCCCATGTTCTTAGAAGAGTCATGCTACAAAACTTAAGAGTAAAGGGACATGATGCCTGTAATCACTCTCAAATACTTCAACAAAAATTTTTTTTTCTATTTTTTTATTTAAATTTTGTTAGTTAACATACTTACTACACATTTATATGCACATACCTATATGGGGACAAAAAGAAATAAAGCAAATGCGATAGAATGGTAACAACTGGTGAGTCTGGGTGAAGGAAATATAAGAAGTCTTTGTACTATACTTGCAACTTCTCTGGTGCTCTGAAATTACTATTTTAAACTTTTTATTTTAAAAGTTTAAAAATTTTTAAAATAAAATAAAAGTTTAAAACTGAAAACCAATAAACAGAGCAGCAGTTTCATTCAGCTTTCAGCAGGCCAGCCCCACAAACACAGGGCACAGCCAGAAGAGAGAGAAGTTCCCTAAGGCCAAAGCCCGTCAGCCTGTGCCCACACCCTGGTGGGGCCAGCTCCCCCCAGGTCTCCCTGCAGTGGGTGTGCTCAGCTGCGCCCCAGGCATGGCCGTGGGACAGCCCGTTCTCCTGTCACTCGGGCTCATCTTCTCAGACCTCCTCACCTTCTGGCATCCAGACCTTCCTGACTGCTCCCTGTCCTCAGCGCTCTCTGCCCTTCTTTCCCTGTGTTTGTTACAGATTTGTAAATACAAATGCATGTGTTTCAACTGCTGGTCTCCCCCAGTCCTCTGGAGCCTAGACTGTGTCTGGGAGGACACAAGAGTGCCCGCGATGGGTCTATATGGGGCTTCTAACAGGCCCCAGACAAACACTACCCTGGGCCCAATTTTCCTCCCTCTGCACCCAGAGTGTGTCCTCCACTCACTCCCTCACCCTGATGGCCCTGGAAGAGCCACTGACTAGAATGCAGACGCACACGTCAGAGCACCCTCGACTCCAGGGTTGGACGAAGGGGAACGAAGCTGAGATCTCCCCAAGCTGAGTTCTCCATGTGCTCTGGAGCTTCCTGATACAGTCTCCTTCTTCTCCCTTCCCCACCTCCTGCTCCAAGCCAGCATTTCCCTAATGATTTTCAGGTTCGTGTAGCCTCTGGGCTGCTGGAGGCTGCTGGGGGGTGAGGGGCCAGGCCATTCAGGCAGAGTGGCTGTTGGCCGCACGCTTCCCTCCTCCTGGCTCAGCTTCCCTGCCTGGAGAGCAATCTGTCAGTCTCTGATTTCCAGAACCACTTCCTTAGAGAAACCCAAGCCCAAGGGCCACTTCTCTCTGCTGGTAATCACACCACATTAGAGAATATTTCCTTTGTCCTTACGGCCAGCAGAGAGGACGCTTTCTCCCCACTACACAGAAAGATAAATTGAAGCCAGTGGAAAGGAGTCTCCCTGCCCCAGGAACACGGAGATTGCTGGATTGCTGAAGGCATGGCCAGACGCACTTCTCAAAGACCTCCCAACCTGCTGCCAGCCGGTTCCTTCTGACCTAGCCTGTCCAGAGCTGTCAGGAGCTGCTCATCGTCACGGTGCCAGGCGACCTTGTAAACAGCTGAATCCAGGGGCTCTGGGTTCTGATCTCCCCGGGGGCCATGGCCCCAAGTCCATGCCATCCCCCACCCCACGTCAGGGTGGGCCTCCTTACCTTGGCCCTGATTCCCCTTGAGGAGCAGGAGGAGTGTGAGGACGAGAGCTTGCCCCAACATCCCTAGAGGACAGAGGGGTCGGCCGGCTCCTCGCCCACCAGACGCTCTGCTTGTGCCCAGGCTCAGCAGCAACCAGCCAGCTAGAGGGGGAGGGGGAGCAGAACTGCCTCGCTGTTTGTCCGGCCACAATTTCCTCAACTCAAGGCTGTTCTCAGCAGCTGAGAGCTAACAAGGCCACAGAGAAAGTCCCAGTACCTGGACCTGGTCCTACAGTTCACACAAGCTGAACTTTCAAATTTGGCCTCAAGTGGGTGGGTTCTCAGTTCGCAGTGACTCACAAACCCAGCTTCAAAATCCTGTCCATCGCTCTGCCCCAGTCAGGCTGCCTCATTCAAGGGACAGAGAGGAAGAAATGTTCCAGTTCTCTCCATCCTACTGGCAATATGGAGAAAGCTGCCAGGAGGCAGGGGGACGAAACAGCCATTATCCCAGACTGTCCCATTCCAACAGGCACTGTGAACGTGGGAGGAGGGGTTGGGGGTGTGTGGGCTGAGAAGTGGAGCCCTAGATAAGCAGGTGAAATGTTGAAGGAAAGGAGTAGGGACACCAGGAAGATCTAAGACCCAGGGTTGCTCTGCAAGTTGGTTTAAGCACATGCAAACTGAAATGCCTTTACATAGATTTGCTTTTGCTCATTTCCTATCTGTGCTTCTATGTCCCATCCTTTCCTCTTTTGCTCCTTTCCCATAGTAGTTCTCTCTTCCTTCTCTTGCCTTCTCTCACGCAGACAGCAACCAAACTCATTTTTGCTGTCCTCCCCTGCCCACACTTCAATTCCGCCCTCCACAAAGGCCAGGAAGCTTTGATCCTTCTTATGCCCCCGCAGAGGGGGAGAGGTGGTGGGGCCCCACCTTCCCCAGAAAGCATTTGCTTTGAGGCCATACCCTGGGGCTCCATGACTTGTTCTTCCTTCTGCTTTCCCCTTAGCAGCAAATTCTTTCAGTTCCCTTCCGATCAGCCCTTCTTCTCTTTTTCCATCCTTTGATCCATTTCCAATCACCCCATCTGAAGCTGGGCTCAGAGGAGGCAGATTAGAGCCTCAACTACTAGTGAAGAAAGCAGGGTGTTCTGGACAGAGCACAGATTTGGAGACTTGAGGGACAGTTCAGCAACTTAACAACCTGTGTGATCCTGGCCAAGTTACCTTCTGAGCCTGTGGGGTCAGTCCTTGGCTCAAGTTCCTCACAAGGTAGTTTTAAGGATCAAATCAATAACTGTAGCTGACTGTACACACAAAAAAGAAGTCTGGACATAGGTAAGTCCTGTTTTCTTTTTTTTAAGATTTGTTTATTTATTGAGAGAGAGAGAGCCAGTGGGGTAGGGGCAGAGGGAGAGGGAGAGAGAGACTCTCCAACAGACTCCCTGCTGATCAGGGAGCCCAGCTGTCATGACCCTGAAAACATGACCTGAGCCAAAATCAAGGGTCCAATGCTTGACCAACTGAGCCACCTAGGCATCCCTCTTTTTCTTTTTCTTTTTTGCATTTTATTTTCCTTAATTTAGCCTTGCATGGCTTTTTCCCACGGGTTTAATGGTTATCAGCTCTGCCACGGGGCAGCCCCTCACCCCTACGGAGCTTCCTCAGAGCCAATCTGGCCATGCCCTTGACTTTGAGAATAGTGCTCAAGACATGATGCAACATAGGGGTACATTTCCTGCCATGAAAGATGGAGGACAAAGTCCAACTGTTCAAAGCAACTAACGAACAGCACTTACTAATCTGCTTCACTGATCCTGACCCCAACACCAGCTCCATCCTTTCTCCACCAGTTGCATGGATACATACCATCCCCTGGAAACTGAACTGGGAGCAGACATGTTGTTGTATCTTGTGGTCTTGTTAGCTAGAATGCAATGGTAAGTTACTCAAATAAGAGAGCTTAAAGCTATCAGCAAAAGGGAGGAGGGGAAGGGACAAAAGCAAGGAAGGAATGTGTTTTATTCTGCAGAACCAACAGTTCTAGCCAAAGAGTGGCCCAACTAGGTTTTTCAACTGATAGCCCCTTGCTATGTGTGTCTTGCCTGATAGCCCCTTATGTGAGCCAGTGTGACTGGATTGGAGCTGAGGACCTTTGCAGAAGCCCCCCTGAGTTGTCCTGAAGTTATAAGGACTCATTATAATACTCATTACAATACTCATTATAATACTAAGCTCATTATAATACTAAGATCTCCTCCTACAGGCAATTTTCTGCCACTTTTTGAACATATGTTGTATGCACTAGAATGTTGACATGTGGGGCGTCTGGGTGGCTCAGTCGTTAAGCATCTGCCTTCGGCTCAGGTCATGATCCCAGGGTCATGGGATCGAGCCCTCCATCAGGCTCCCTGCTCAGTGGGAAGCCTGCTTCTCCCTCTCCCGCTCCCCCTGCTTGTGTTCCCTCTCTCACTGTGTCTCTCTCTGTCAAATAAATAAAATCTTAAGAAAGAAAGAAAACCAAGTTACAGGTAGAGCTGGGATTTGAACCCCAGACTGAGTTGAAAGCCTGGGCACTGAACCATTAATCATGTAAACAACTGACGACATCAAGGGAACTGCTTGAAAATAAGAACAACTTTTATATACTTCTGCTGAGAGAAGCAGGGGAAAGGAAGGGAAAAATGGGAGCAGGAGGCCTGAAAGGAGCCATTCATTATCTTGCAGGCTTTTGGCAAGGCTTCCTAAATGCAATGGGCCTGTGGCGTTCATGATCAGGAGTAATGATTCCCCCTGCTAGAAGTCACGTCTCCCAGGCTTGCTGAGAATCTCCACCAGAACTAGAGAAAACTCCTTGGAACCTGTTGAAATGCGAGAGTGAATCCCAGAGCCAGTGATAGCGGCTGAGCTGGATGAAGCTCCAGGCTTGTTTTCTGAGGTCCCAGATCCATAAATTGGAAGAGATGCCAGGCTGAGATGCAAAATGAAACTATCCTATGGGCATCAAGGAGACAGCAGGAGGGCACGTGGGTGGCTCAGTTGACTCTTGGTTTTCGCTCAGGTCATGATCTCATGGTTGTGAGATTGAGCCCGTGGAGCTCTTCGCTGGGCGTGGAGTCTGCTGGAGATTCTCTCTCTCCCTCTGCCCCTCCCCCACTCTCAAAAAAAAAAAAAAAGAGAGAGAGAGAGACACACAGCAGTAAACACTCCCAGTTGACACTTAAGTGCTCCAGGTCTAGGCGGTGACCGACTGACCACAAATCAACGCCTGAGGCTCCATAACCAATGAGTAATGAAAAAACTTTTATCTTTGATCAGCAGATGTCTGAGCCATCTGCGGACTTCCTTCCCAGGATGCAGAGCCATCCGGGAGCATGTCAAGAAGACTGACCATAAAGGAGAGATTGGAAAGGGTGTTCAAAGACCACCAGTGAGCAGCCAGTGAAAGGAGAAGTTCTATTCTAGGACTCCAGGAAAACAGAAAACATTCTCATTTGAAACTGCAGAAGAAAAAGAAGGCAGTGGTCACTGAATAAGAACTCATTGTCTTTATTTTCCAACCACCTGAACACTGTGCTTCTGAAGCCATGACTGGGTTTTTAACAAGTACAGCCATTATTCTGGGCCTTTTTCTGTCGGTCTTTCTCAGAAAGGCTAGAACATTGTTTCTCCTTCTATGTGTATTTTTTTTATTTTATTTTATTTATTTGACAGAGAGAGACACAGCGAGAGAGGGAACACAAGCAGGGGGAGTGGGAGAGGGAGAAGCAGGCTCCCCGCAGAGCAGGGAGCCCGATGCGGGACTCGATCCCAGGACCCCGGGATCCATGACCTGAGCCGAAGGCAGTCACTTAACCAACTGAGCCACCCAGGCGCCCCTTCTATGTGTATTTATCTTCTTTGGGCCTTCACTTACCAGAAGAAATCTGCCAGGTATTGTTTGTTTGTTGGGTGTGATGACTTTCAGATTCAGGTTAAATTGGAGGAAGGCGATATTCCCACCAAAACACAGGACAGCAAATAACCTGCTGGAGCCCTATCTGAGTCAAAGACCCAGGATCCAAAGAGTGCAATCCATGTCAGGGCTCATCTCAGGAATAAGGAACCTGCTATCCTGGCTTCAGCATGGAGAAATAGCTCTAACAATCAGAGAACTGGAAGCTAACTCCCCAACACTAGCAATATGGTGTAGGAAACGGGGATCAATCTCTGCTTCTCGGCGCTGGAACAAGATGTTTCCACAGGAGCACCTGGCTGCCTCAGTCCATGGAGCATGCGACTCTCGATCTTGGGGTTGTGATTTTCCACCCCACATTGGGTATAGAGATCACTTAAAAATAAAATCTTTTTTTTTTTTAAAAAAAGCGTTTCTGGGGCACCTGGGTGGCTCAGTCAGTTAAGTGTCTGCCTTTCGGCTCAGGTCATGATCCCAGGGTCCTGGGATTGAACCCCACATCGGGCTCCCTGCTCGGCGGGAAGCCTGCTTCTCCCTCGCCCACTCCCTCTGCTTGCGTTTCCCTCTCTTGCTGTGTCTCTCTCTGTCAAATAAATAAATAAAATCTTTAAAAAAAAAAAAAAGAAGTGTCTGCCTTTGGCTCAGGTCATGATCCTGGAGGCCCCGGGATCAAGTCCCACTTAGGGCTCCCTGCTCAGCGGGGAGTCTGCTTCTTCCTCTGCTCCTCATCCTGCTCGTGCTCTCTCTCTCAAATAAATAAATAAAAATCTTTTTAAAAAAATAAAAAATTTTAAAAGGTGTGTGTGGTTTTTTTTTAAGATTTTATTTATTCATTCAAGACACAGAGATACAGAGAGAGAGAGCATGAGCAGGGGGAGAGGCAGAGGGAGAGGGAGAAGCAGGCTTCCCGTGGAGCAGGGAGCCCCACACGGGGCTTGATCCCAGGACCCTGGCATCATGACCTGAGCCGAAGACAGACGCCTAACCATCTGAGCCACCCAGGCGCCCTGAAAAAGGTGTTTCTACATAAAAAATGAAAGTTTTCACAAATCGCAGGAGAAATTCATCAGTGAATTGCTTTATACAAATGAAAAATAATTAAATATAAATGTGTCTTATTCATTAGTATCTTTTAATATGTAATATAAATCAGAATCAGATTAGTACCAAATAATATACTGAGATTTTATGTTTGATGTAATAATATATCAGAGTGGTTTGCAAAAAAGAAAAAC